AAAATGTATTAAAATATTTTAGAATTTTTCAATTTTCATTTTCTTTAAACCTTCTTATTGTCTATGCTCTTAAAGAACATTTACTACTATGCCATCTTGAACATTGTTTGATATTTTTTCAATTTATTGTATCAGATTATAATTTATAACTTTCAGATTTACCAGTTGAAACGTTTATTTATTGATTAAAATTTAAAATATGTATTGTATTTTGAAAATAAAATATAACTTAAGAAATATTTTATTATTGTGCAATGTTATGAATGTAACATTTAAGACCAAACGTATTTTTTTTTGTAAATACTAAATCAATTTTATATTTTGTTAAATGCCAAATGTCTTATGATTTAAATATTTATGTAAAAAATAAAAGTTTTAATTTTCAGATATTAATTGTTTAAACTTGTTGGGTTTATGAACAACCATACAAAGATATTGAGGATAAGAACAAGGACTAGTACAAAATTAAATTCTATTAATTTTCTTCGATTGACTAAAAATATTTTGTCTCTTAAATAAAAACTATAAGCTATTTAAATATAATATAATATAATATCTTGCATATATTGTTTCCATTTGCTTTAAATTTTTAGTGTTCATATTATAATATATTAAAAATCGGTACGCAAGTTACATTTTAAAGTTTGTACATTTTCTAAAAATGTAATCTCGGGTTTAATTTTTTGAACTCATTACATTTTACAAGAATGTATATGAGGTGTTCTGTGATAGAGTATTTTGAGACCTCAGAAATCTAAACTGCCGAAAAACATCAGCATTGGCGATTTCAGAATTGGTTTCCCTTTTATAAAGGCAATCTGCTCTAAAAATGCATACTCTTGCTATAGTATTATAATACTAGTAACAATAATGGTCATAATTTTGTGACTTGTCATATTTATCTTCTCACCTTTTTATAATTGTAATAATCTTAGTACAAACACATATTATTTTTTTTAACTACTATTATTATAAATATAATATACTTTTATTATTTGCTTTACGTTTAAATAAAAATTTATAATTACCATTTTTTATTTAGTATTTTACATTCCTATGCATAGATTATGAATTACAAAAATATATAGTATGTAATAAAATAATAAAATTCAAGAAAATAAGATAGTATTTATTTAAAATTATATTGGTTATATTAATTATACAATTTTATTATACAAATTGTATAAATATTATGTCAAAGATAAATGGTAAAGAGTTATTACGTTGTATAAAATCAGTCGTATACCAATCTTTACAAGCATAAAACTTATTTATTTTGTCCTACATTTTCTTTTTACCATTATATATTATTCTATTTCAAAAATCAAGAGGTTAAATCTGTATCACTGTGTCATATAATTTACTAATTTAATCTTTATCAAATTTTCTCTGTGCGTTTAATAATAATACGTCTTTAAATTATATAATTTTACTTAAGTTGGATTGATTATGTGTTGTGATAGGGTGGGATTTAAATTTTAATATTTTGATTTACGGATAGTAAACCTTTAACATTTTATAATATTTTGTTAATCGAAAACTATGATTTTACAGTCTGGATTTTTGTTTTCACTGAACACATCATGAATTAAAAATTATTAGTGTTTAAAGAACAATCATGGGATATTTAATTTTAAAGTGTATACTACTACATACTAATGCATGTTGTTTTATGAAATATTTAATAATAAAATCTAAATCTAACTTTTTATTTAGCATAGAACCAAATTAAAATATTACAAATATATCTTAATTTTTATTACTAAATTATTTGCAGAAATTTTAATAGATATGACATATCAAATAAATACAATTTTATATTAATTTTCAGCAGTAATTCATAAGAAAATTGTTCAAAATCAAACTCCTAGAGTAATAGAAACATCTAAAGGTGATCTTTATACAGAACCAGAAAAACGAGTATTATTATTCACATCAAAAATTAATAATAAAGAGTATGTTCCTTTCATGGATGTTGATCTTCTAGAGAGGTAAATTTAATAATTCTATAATAGTCATAAACAAGTACTTCAAAATTTACTTTAAAAGTAATATTGGTATTTATATTATTTTCTGAAAATTAATAAACAACCAATTCAAATTATCACTATTCCATGTTTTTTTTTTATATATTTAATTTCTACAGAAAAATAAAAATTTTATAATTCAAAACATCAATATATTTGTTTTAAAAGGTTTCAGTTAACAATTCCATTCACCGACAGTGATGGTTTGCTAACATTATCATCGGAACAAAAAAAAAAAATTGTTCAATGGATAAGACCAGATCAATTGTGTTCCGATCCAAAAATGGTCGTTGGAGACACCATAGATTTTTACAGCATAAAGCAAACAGTAATAAAAAAAAACTTATTGCATGATATTAAAATTAACTAAAGTATTGTATTTAAATAGGTGTTACTATGTAGCATTAATTAATTAAAACGAAACTACATCCATCAATAATTTACAAGACAGTTTTCATTTTACTGTCATCTTGGTATAAACATATTTAAAATGATTTATATTAATATAAATAACAAACTAATAAAACTATAAATATGGTCAAAAGTCTATTTAAACAATTTTATATTTAGTCCAGATTATTTAGTTGTTTTATCTCAGTATTTTACATAAGAAATTATATGATTTACCATATGGAAGTTTTTTAATCTCTACAAATTATACAAAAAAAAATTATATATATTTTTATTTTATAGAAAGATTTAATTACTTTTGTTGTAGATCGTCACGGACTGTTCATTTGTAGCATCATTAGCTGTGTGTGCTGTGTATGAGAAAACATTCAAACAAAGATTGATTACGTCGATTATCTACCCTCAAAAACACAATGGGCAACCTGTTTACAATCCATTTGGTAATGTATTTTGTAATGGCATTATTTTTGTTACATAAATTTGAACTACATGATACTGATGTGGTTTTTATCTACTTCATTAGGAAAATATATGATCAAATTGCACCTGAATGGTATACAGCGTAAGGTAATAATAGATGATTTATTGCCAGTCGGCCAGTATAACTCATTATTGTGCTCGCATTCATCAAATAAAAATGAATTTTGGGTTTCTCTTATAGAAAAAGCGTACCTCAAAGTAATGGGAGGTTATGATTTTCCGGGATCGAGTAGTGTAAGTTTATTAAAATATTAAATCATTGATGAAATGTTTTTAACTTACTTAAAACTGAAAACCAATGATTATTTATTTTTGTTATTAACTTTTTGTCGATTGTATGTTGATTTTAGAATATTGATCTCCATGCTTTAACTGGCTGGATACCTGAACGCTGTGCCATTCGTTTAGATGAAAAAACATTTAATGCTGATGGTTTGTTTGAGACTCTCTACACAAGATTGTGTAAAGGTGATGTATTAATTACTGTCGCTACACCGCCCATGTCAGAAGAAGAAGAGAGAAGAACTGGTCTTGTTTCTTCACATGCATATGCCGTTTTGGCTGTGCAAAAAGTTAATGTAAGCCATATAAAATACAAGTTAATAGGTTTAATACTGCAATCATACAAATATTGTTTAAAATTATTTCAGGATTTAAAACTGTTGAAATTGAAAAATCCTTGGGCTCACGTACGGTGGAAAGGACGTTACTCAGAAATGGATGATAAGAGTTGGACATCTCAGTTAAAAAAAATGCTCGACTATGATCCAATGAGTGCGGCTACATTCGATAACGGAATCTTTTGGATAGATTACACGTCAGTACTTCATCATTTCGATGTATTTTGTATGAACTGGAATCCAGCAATATTTCCATACACATCATGCATACACAAGTACATAATAATTTTTTGGAACTAAAAATACCTATATTAAAACTAAATTGACATAATTTTTTTATTTATTACTTATATTTTTAGGACTTGGAATACTGGAACAGGTCCTATTTCTGATTTATATAACATAAGTGAAAATCCACAATTTTTTCTTGATGTTGGTAATATTAACAGTGGTGCTGTTTGGATACTGTTAACCAGACACATAACTGAGTTACAAGATTTCAAAGAAAATCGTGAATATATAAGTGTTTTAGTGTACAAAAATAATGGAAAACGTGTTCATTACCCAAGTACATAGTTAATCAAATTAATAATGAAATAACAATATTTTGATACATTTTTATTTTATTTCTTCTAGACGATCCTGAACCATATATATCTGGAACGCGCATAAATAGCCCTCATTACCTTTGCAAGATTGTTATTAATGATAAAACACCATCCAAATATACATTAGTCGTGTCTCAATATGAAAAAATGAATACAATTAATTACACCCTACGGGCATATGCTACATGCCCATTTACAATGAAGGAGCTTGGTAACTCGTATGATCCCAAATTCAAAACGGTAATTTTTTTCTTTTAGAATCAAACCTATTGAATAATGAATATTATTATAAATTTAAATATAGACTGTCAATGGTGAATGGAAAGGAATAAGAGCTGGTGGATGTCTAAACCATAGTACTTATAATGATAATCCCAAGTTCAAATTAACAGTAGACGGATTATCTGACTCTGAAGCATTACAAATTGAACTAAAGGCACCAAAACAGTACCAAGTTGGAGTTGAAATATCATGTGTTGGCTTAAATAACACAAATGTTACAGCCAAGTTTAAAAGCAAATCTTCTGGAAGCTACAGGTTACTATTTACTAAGTATATTATGATAGAAATTAGGATGCTGTACTGTGCAAACATAATATGCTGTACTGTACACTAATATCAAAAATTTTATTTTATTTTATTTTTATTTTTTTTTAATAATTAAAATTTAAACTGAAAAAAATATTAGTGGGTTTTATAAATGTAAATTATCTATTACTAATACACACTAAAACTTTAAATTATATCAAATGTTATTTATTCAGTTAAATCACATTGCTTAAGTTAAAAAATTATTGAGATGATTAGATAAATTAAAAATATACTGTTTTTAGGTTGTACAAATTATTACAATATTATTCACTGGATTTATTAGTGTTACGTGTGAATATATTTAAATATTTGCCACGTGTCATTTCTTTAGATTCTTCTAAGCCTAAATTATAGGCAAAGTCGTATAGAGACTTTAATTCATCTAAGAGTGGAGGCAATGGCATCTGACTATAACGTTGTACAAGTAGCATATCATGGGCATCTGGTGGTTGCTTCCATGATGGTTGTTTATCAGTCGCACTAGATGCGCGTATATGTTGTGCAAAACCGGACATGCCAGGCATTGGTTCAGGCCAAAGTTCTGGCGACGACCGATCAAGCGTTTCCATTGCCACTAAACACTGTTGTTTTTGTTGATCAAGTTCTGGCATAGTCTTCTCAGCTGGGCAGATGATGTAATACACACATTGATCTGGACATTCGGCTTCATTTGACATATAATAAAACAAATAAATATAAGTAATTCATATAGTTTTAATTTGTATTAGTACCTAAATACAAAATAACAAATAACCAATGTATTAATTAAATAGAAAAACCAAACACTAGTAGAAAATGTGTATAATTATCAATTACGTATACCTAATATTATAAGTGCTTGGAATTCACTTTTTAAAAGTTTTCATTGAGAATGATATTAAGAAATTTTAAAAAACCAATTTTTATTAAATAACAATAAAATCTATAAATGAAAATGATTTATAAAAATTAAAAAATCGCAATTTTTATTCTCGTATTTCTGTATCTTCTAAATAATATTAGGTTCTGTGTAAAATTAAAATATTATCTTTTAATTTATAATCCTTTTTGATTTCAGATCCGGATATGTGATTCTAGAATTAGCTGATATTCAGCCTGGAACATATGAAATAATTCCTTCAACATACCTGCCTGGTAAAGAAGGGCCATTTATATTAACTGTAAACGCATCTTGCTCAGTTAGTATTAATCAAATTCGATAGATTAATTTACAGCATTCAACTAATCATTTATTTATCTAAAAATGTGTTGTTAAAAACTTGTGTAATATTTATTACTGATATCTTTTAAGTTCTCTATAAGAGATAAATAATTTTATACTATTTGTATTAAGAAAACATTTTGTATGCATTTGTAACATAATTAAATTACCATACATTACATAATGTAATACATATCATTCATGTATAAAAGAAAGAATATTGTTCTTAATTAACAATTATTAACCATTATTCAACCTAATGCTGCCTAATTTATTTAAGATTATTATTTTTTTTAATTAAAATATTAATATAATTTTGTACCTAATGAATATCAGTGAATTAATTGTAACATAATATATATTATACATGTTGTTTTACAAATAAATACATTTTTTGAGTAAAAAATTAACTGAGTACTAAAATTAACTACCTACAAAAACTGGACAGGGTAAATGTGTATAAAAAAACAAACAAGACTAGTTTTGTTATAAATAAAATGATTAATAGTTTATTAATTAAAAGTTCAGAAGAATATTATAAGAACTTAATTTTCACGATGTAGGTATAATCAAAAATCAGTAAGTTAGGTACATGTAATATAATATAGATATAGAAAAAACTTATAAAAAGTAATACATTTTTTTTAATTCTCAGCTTCTGTTGTAGTATTTTGATTTTTAAGTCTGTCAATGATAGGCAAATGTCCACCTGCAGTCTTGAAAGCGTAATATCCTGAACTCAATGTTATTACAAATACTATACACAATGCAAGTGTATTAAAATAATATTGATTGAGCAATGTTATTTCTGATACAACTAAGTGCGAAATAACGACATACAAAATGAAGTTTTTATTGTCTGTGTTCAATCCATGGAAAAAAAGTATTTCCCAAAATATGTGTAGAAGTATGATGAATGCAGTGAAAATTGAAGATACAATACAAAAGGCGCTGTATCCACCACGGAGTCCCATTGTTCCTGGTCCACCAACTTCAGCAAGTATGTTGATCAAAGCAAATAGACCGCTCATGACGCCAAATCCCAAACCGGAAACATATGACAACATGTGCTTGTTGTTGGACACCAACGAGTGCCCCACAAACCGTTTGAGTCCACGTTCTGCTTTGCGTAACAGCAGATATAAAAAGTAACGGAAGAGTTCTTGTACCAATACAGATACGATCACTCCGAACCAGACCTGCTGCTTGCTGGGGAAGACGAACCACACTATCGACGAGAATAGTAGACTGAGCAGCCAGAAAAACGAGCTGGCTATCAATATGATGACACGTACAGGATCATTCATGATGGTCACAATGAACATTGACAACGCCGGGCCGAAAGCTGTCAGCGCACAACCAGTAAACTCCAGTAACGTCATTGCGAATTGGCGTCACAGCAAGGTTCCGCAGCGAGTAAATTAATCGAAAAACGTCAACACTGAACAGTACACACGCACATTCTTTGACAAAACCGAACAATGATTAATATCTCTAGTAGTTAGTAGTTTTGTTTATAGCTAATTGATTGTTGGTAGAAAATCGTCGTTTCGCACCACAGAGTATTAACATATAGGACGTAGGTACCACACACTGAGCGTTTTATATTATTATGCATAAAATATACGAATTGTGTATAAAGTCTGGCTTACCGGTTTAATTTTGATCGTGCGGCTTACATCAAAGTTTACTGAACAAGTAGAAAAAAAAACAATGATCGACGACGGAGAGCGGACCGCTGTTGCAATGATATCGGTGGTTTGTTTCGAGTGGGTGAGAAATTATGTTTTGTAAGTTGTATGAGCTGCTGCAACGCTACAACGACGTCTTGACGATTCAATTTACGATTGACAACAGTTGAACCCGACGGCTGACCAGAGCATCTCGTAATTATTCGTGTACATTACACATAAATGATATAGGTATGTAATACTATAATGTTCGTTTAGCTCGTGTTTTATTGTTTCAAATAAATATACTATACATCTTTTATCACGAATTCTGATCCGAAATTCTGATCCGAAATTCCGAAATCCGAATAGCGAATTGTGCTAGGCGGTAGGCGTCTTGGTAACTGGTTAGCGATCGGTTTACCACATGACCATAGTAGCATCACAGATGAAAACAGATTATACATGTAAACAAAAACTACATGTATACATGTCGGCTGTCCAAAAACATAACACAGTATCTGACACTCTTATCAAAATTGATGTTTTTACAAAATCCAATTCAGGGGGAAATGCTTAATATTATTTTCTTATTCTCCTTGATTTCTGATGATTATTTTTTAATTTAGAAGACAGTAACTACCAACAACTTTCTATGATAAGGATTTTTCCAAATTAAAAACACAGTAACTACTTTTTTTTTTCGTCGATCTAAAATTAGCCTAGACTCGACAATAATATGACTAGACAGTAAGTTGTCTTAGACCCATACACAAGACATATTATAGTGTATACTATAATACTTTAAGCCTAACTAACTATAGGTTAAAAAATTAGTGAATCAATTGATTTTATATTTTGGTGTGACAATTGTACAGGTCAAAATAAGAATTGGATTCTATTTACAGCATTAGTTTGTATTTTAAATTCCAATCATAATTCTGTAGAAAGTGTAACTATAAAATATTTAACAAAAGGTCACACTCATATGTCTGCCGATGGAGTACATGGAAATATAGAAACAAAAATAAGGAAAGTTAGAAATATTTACGATTATGATGACCTAAAAAATACAATTAAATCTAGCAGGCAGAATTTAGATATAATTGATCAGAAAAAATTCAGACAATGGACAAGTAAAAAAAGAGCTACGAACATTAAATCTGACCCACTTAAAAATTTTAAACTAGGTGATATAGTAATGGCTAAATTTAAAAGAGGTTCTGTTACAATGTTTTATTCAACTGACTTTGATAATGAAATTCTTCAGGAACTGGACTTTTTACAAAAAAAATTCATAAAAAACATCACCAGTTATGAGCCAGACATAATTATACAAAACAGAGGAATACCTCCAACTAAAAAAAAAGATATAATTGAAAAATTAGTCCCATTGATGCCAGCTAATAGAGAACTATTTTGGACTGAACTTCCAGTCTCGTTGACTTCAACTGATTTGGTTGAAAATATTGATTTGTCTGATACTTTCATTAATGAATGCCATTAATAATTAGTAATTTTTAAAATGTTTTAGGTAGTAACTAGTTTGATATACAGACATTATAATTTTATAAATATTTTGTATTTTATATTTTTATGGTTATTAGTTATTTATTGCTTATACTAAATTAAAAAATTGAAAGCTGTGTTTTTCAATACTTAAATAAGTTTATAATATGTTCATGATATTTTTATTGAAAATAAGTTGTTGTTTAAATTTACAAAGACTGCCAAAATGCAACACTGTCAGTTTATTTATTAATTGTGATACTTTTATGATTATGAGTTATTTATTGTTTATACTAAATTAAAAAATTGAAAGCTGTGTTTTTCAATACTTAAATAAGTTTATAATATGTTCATGATATTTTTATTGAAAATAAGTTGTTGTTTAAATTTGCAAAGACTGCCAAAATGTAACACTGTCAATTTATTAATTAATTGTGATACTTTTAAAATGTTTCAGTTATAAATAAAGACTGCTTATAACAAAATATTAACATAATATTTGTTATGGTTATTTACTTAATATAATATTAACTCATATTAAACAATTAAAATATCACTTATAATTTAATATTAGAGATTTATTCAGATTTAATATAATTTATTTATGTTTTGAAAACCAAAATTAAAACACAGTAAAAGCCATTGCTGTGTTTTTAATTTTATCATACTATTTTATCCTCTTCCATTATCAAAATCAAAACAAAGTAACTGTCTTAACTCCTTGACAAAGACAGAAAATGACAAATTATTGATATCAAAAAATGTAGAAAATGGTCCTAATTCATTGATAAGTGAGGTTTCAGGTTTAAATTTTATGAGATAGATAGCGGCCTTTTGGTATTTACTGATATTGCTCTCCTGTAAAATTTTGTCAAACGTAGTTACTGTGTTATGTTTTTGGACAGCCGATGTATACAAGACTGTATACAACCCGACGCCGTATTGCCAACAAAAATACATTTGAAATTTTAAATAATTTTCGCGCGTGAACGCGTGATATTTTAGATATTTAGTCAATAATACTGGTGAGTGATTATGTACACACTACACATTACATATTTACATAATATTTACATACCTATTAAGGCTCTAAAAATACTTAAATTAATTTTGTAGTATAAAACGTAGGAACAATTAAAATTTTTATTTTTTATTTATTAGATTCTGAAGCGGAGCGATGAATGCGTTGGTTTTACAATGATGTGTTTTTTTTTTTTTTTGTGTCTGTGGTCTGTCATCACCTTCTAGGACAGTAAAAGTGCTTGGATTTTCTTCTACAGTATCTTTACTGATAGGAAAGTGAATCTAGTGGGTACTTCCGACTTCGGTGGGTCAAATAGATTTCAAAAGCGCCATGAAAAACAAAAAAAAAAAAGAAAACCGGGAATTTTTACGCAAAATCGATTTTTTTTTTTAGCTTAACTCTAAAACAAATTACTGTAGATACATGGAATTTTGACCTAATATTTATATTAGTATTTTCTATGCACGATAACATTTTCAATTTGACTTATTTTGAGATGTTTACGGACATTTTCAGTTTATATTTTTTTAATTTTTTTAATCTAATAACCGCCTCCCACGAAAGCCACGTCACAGCCAGTGAAATGATCCAAAACCATTTAAATATGATCAGCTTGTGGGCAAACAGATGGAAAATAAAAATAAACGAAACTAAATCTGTTCAAGTAACTTTTTCACTACGTAATCTCAATTCTCCACCTGTCACGTTAAATAATATAACAATTCCTAAGGCAAACGAAGTTAAATACCTTGGGCTAACACTCGACAAACGCTTAACCTGGAGCCCACACATTAAACTTAAACGCAAAACTGTTAACTCTAGACTTCATATCCTTAGACCACTCTTAAAATCCAAACTTTCCCTTTCCAATAAACTTACTATATACAAAACAATAATTCGACCAGCTTGGACATATGGTATCCAGTTATAGGGCTCTGAAAAGCCCTCTAACACCAACACGCTTCAAGCTTTTCAATCTATCTGCCTACGATTAATAACATCTTCTCCTTGGTATTTCACAAACAATAATCTTCACAAAGACCTAAAAATTCCTACACTTAATCAATTAGCAAAAGCACATTGCTCTAAATTTCACTCCAACTTAAACTCTCACAGTAATCCATTAATAAAGCAACTTTCTTCCACCTCATTTCCTGGCAATGTATGTAGAAGACTTAAAAGACAGTGGCCTAGAGACCTACTAAAATAAAAAAAAAAAAAACCACGACCAAAATTTTCTCGGTCGAGTGATGCTGCTGAGTGCCTGCCCTTAAATGTTAAACTCTGTTATTTCACATTATATTAACCATCAAATTTGCCCATTGTACATAATATTGTATAGATTGCAAATTACATAAATATATAAATGAAAAAAAAAATAAAAAATATCAATACAATTTTATTTGTTGGGTAAAAAAGCTTGAAAATTTAATAGAAGGCTAATAATATATTGTTTCAAAGAATAATATTAAAAACCAGTCACAATTATTTTTATAATCATTTAAAGTTCAAATATTAACAAAATACGTAAAACTCACGAAAATGTGCAAATTATTTTGAGTTAGAAATTCATAAAAATATTTCTATTCAAATCTAAGATTTGAAAATGTAATACAAAATTCCTCATAAGTTTGTCTACATTTACCAACAAAAAAAATGTCTACAAGCAAATCAAATTAAATTTTTTTTATTATTATTATGATTATGTTTATATTTTTACAAGATTGGATATTCACTCGATTTCTCATGTATAGCAATTTTGTTATTTTGTTGCAATTCAAAAAAAAATAACCAAAGATAAATGAAAATTCCAGTGAACTTAATATTTTGACTCTTTTTGAGCTGTTTACAGACATGGTCAGTTTTCAGTTCTTTTTTTTCTATAATTATCAATAAAGTTGTATTTGTTACATACATATATCAGCGAGTTAAGAACTATGGTGCAAAAAAAAATTCAAAAACCATCATTCTCAACTCTTTAAAATACGTGAAAAAAAAAATCAAAATTCGTTATGCTCTGCTTTAACATAAAATCGCAGAACTTTGGAAGAATATATGCAGTGTTGCACAAAACATTTAATGAATCAATAGTCCTTTAATGGTCCCTTAAACAAGATTTAGTGGCCCAAGATTGGTTCATTAAATTTAATAAATTGTTTATGCAGCCCAGTAATATATTTATGACTTTAAAAGTAATGATTTAAGCAATTTTTTTTCTGCACCATCGTTCTTCACTCGTTGAAATATACATGTTTCAAAAAAAATGCTGTGTAGTTAAAGTGAATTTATGCCAAATATATTATAATGTTGTATATAGGTACTAAATTGTGTAGAATTTTAAAGCCAAATTTAATAACTTGTGTATAATATATTAGTTTTAGGATTTTTGGTAAAATAGTAGGTACCTATTCCCAGCTACCACTCACCACTGTACTTGAAAATGTAGTATTTATTATATTTATTTAGTAATTTGTGTGGAAAATATGTTTATCTCCGAGACCCCCCCCCCCCCCCCACTAATACAAATACCTAATTACGCCACTGGGTCAAGGGCGAGATTAAAAATTGACTAAATGTGCCCCTTAACACAAATTTCATAGTTTTCATAGTATAATACATTACATTAATTTTATACTCCAACTGTATATAATTTGTAGTTCAGCAGTATGAGAAATGGTTGAACACCACATAAAATACCATTATAAAAATTGATCAATTATAGAATTTGGACCAACTTTCGGTGTTCTAGTATTGTGTAACTAATTATGATAAACCATTTCAAATTTGAAATAATTATTAACTACATGTTATAACTTGAAAATGGATGAATTGCTCACAAATGGATGGGATAAAAAGTAAATAAAAAATAGAAACATAAATTAAAAATAGTATATTTTATTCTCATATTGTGATGGAGCAATACAACATAATTATATAGAAATTTCCGCTCAAGCAGTCACTAGTAGATGACTTCTTAATCACATCTACAAAATTATTTTTTAAGTTTCTTATCACATATACCTATTATGCTAAGCACCTAGTATAAATTGTATATTTCTTATAATATATATATATATATAAAAAAAAATATAGAAATTAAAAATAATGTAAATACAAGTTATCATACAATTCAGAATTTAAAGCACACTTCAATTTTGGAGTTTTATTAAAATAGAAAAATGTTGTTTTTATAATAAATTCATTTTAACCTAAGTTATTTTATAAGTACTTATAACTATGAATGGTTTTTATGATATTAAAAACAATAATTAAACATTTAAACATATTATATTCTGATGAGAAAGAATATCAGTAGCTACCAATCCACAGCCACAATCATGTTCAGTAGTAGGCTGTAATGTGGTACCTTTATATTTGAAATTATGCATAGATAAATTAATATAAGAAAACATGATTTATTTACAACAATTACTGTATTAAATTCAAGTTTTATAAGACATCTAATAGTTATTATATACATAATTAAGAGTATTAATTATTTACAATTTATTCAGTTTTGATAAAATACACATCATTACCAGTTGTACTATGTTTTTATAAACGAGTTAATAACATAACAAATTGTATACAATTTAAGATCAGTAAGAATTAAAATACATTAGTTTAATCTAATGTTATAACACATAAAACCGATCTTGAATTATTTTTTTCTTGATGTCTATTATTTCTACTACTCCTAGAGCTACCAGCTACACAGTTATTGGGCCCTGAGATTGAAATGTTAGGAAGGTAAAGATTATTTAACATAGAGGTTGATTCCATTAATGGTGGTAAATCAGATTCGTCACTTAGTATAATAACTGGTTCATACTTTGAATTACCTGAAGTTGATTGATCAGAATCGTCATTTAACGTAATAATTGGTCCATACTTTGAATCAGCTGAAGTTGATGGATTAGAATCGTCATTTAATGTAACAATGGGTTCATACTTTAAACTACCAGAAACCGATGGCGTTGAATTGTTTTTAATACTTAAGTCTAACACAAGGTCACTTTCAGAAGGATTTGTTACATCTTCAGTTTCTATAACATGTTCAGATTTTATCACAGATTCTTCCACATTTGATGGATCATATTTAAAACGTTTTGGTTTTGAAACAATCACATCGTTATCAGAATTGTCTACGTCACTATCACTATCATCTGCATCATTATCATCATCAGAATCTGACAATGTAAATACTTCAATATTGTTTGTAGATCCATAATCATTTGTTCTCGCATTGTTTGAAAATTCTTTATTTTTTCTTTCGGACCATGTCCCATCTTTTAATAAAACAACATTTTCACATTCTTCGCTTAAATCTGGACTTTGAAGCACGTTTAAAAAAAACTCATCAACTTCAATGTTTTCAAACTTAAGTTTTTTTTTACATAATGGGCATGTCCATGTTTGCTTTTGTTCATTCATCTGTAAAAATTGTATTGCATCGAAACACTGTAAATGTATACAGTCTACACCTCGAGCAGGAAGTTGCATTCTTAATTTAGTTAATGGATCCTTAACAGTGGCAAACATAGAATCTACACCCATATCAGCATCATTTTCCATAGATTTTTTAATGAGTTCTTTAGTTTTATCTGAGGCGCGTACGGGTCTTTTTTTAAGTTCAACAAGCAGATCATTCCAAGTCAATTTGTTGGCCACATAAACACCAGCCATATATTCGTGTGGTTCTTCTGACCATGTAATTTTTAATGTGTTCTGTAAACAATTTCTTAAATCCGTTTGTTGAGTAATATCTATAGGAATATTGCACCGCCACGGAGTGATGCCTGCTTTTGTTGGGATGTTTAATATGGGTAACTTACATTGACGATCATTAACAGAAACTGTAATATTGTAAGGTAAACGTTCAGTAACATTTTCATCACGTCCAACTTGTAGTAATCTTAAAATAATTTGAATTTTATATTCTTGTCTGGCAATATTCCATGATTTAACAATAGAATGTCTAACATTATCTGTTAGATAAAATAGCCCAGTAAAGTTGGCAGAATCAATATTAGTCTGGCAGTACATAGGCATTAATAATGTTTGTACTGTCTTAAAGAATGGTAAGTGCTCAAATTGTATAGTTGGACTTGGGGTTTCAACGAAAGGTTGTATAGGATTTGGTCTTGGTGGTGTATAAGGTTGGCTATGAATTTGAATGTTGTTTCGAGGTTGTCGTAAAAACCGCTGTAAAAAATTTGGCTGTTGTACAACCGGTGGCTGCGGTGGTTGTTGAGGTTGCTGGTTTTGTTGTGGTCTAGAGTTATAGACTTGTATAATTTTTTGTTTCAAAACTTTTGTTTTTGGTGAAGGTGCACTTAATAAGTTTAACATACGTTTGCGTAAAGTTTGTTTGCTACCAGATTTGTTATGCTTAACAGCTTCTAAAATTTGCTGTAGTTCATTTGTTTTTAAATCATATACCAACTGATGAATGTATTCAATATCCGCCTAAAATCAAAAACAAAAACCAAATTATAGTTTAACAAGTAAGTAACTTTATATAACTAGAGATGGGATAAAAAAATTAATAATTATATAGTAATGCAATAATAGTTTAAAATACTACTTTATAATTTTATGTACATTTTTAAAATGTATAATTTAATATTTAGTTATTTATAATAAATTTCATACTCATTTGTAATAGGCACTAAAAATAATAGCAACATTTACAAAAATATACCTTCTCAGGTATACTATTTTTTGTTTATTCATTTAAAATAGGTAAGTACTCTTTCAATTTGTTAAGTTCTCGGGAAAAATTATTGACATCTATAAATTTGTTAACAAGTTAGCCCAGGGGTTGGCAATATCCAAAATTTATCGGTCAAATCAGGCCCGTGAAAGGGAAATAACCGGACCACCAAGAATATTTTTTTTTAATGCTATTTTCCGCATATAATAGATATTTGATCTATTTTTATGTTGTATTTGTGTGTATTTTGGCTTCACATATAAATATTAGGAACTATGTTCTCCAAATTGACTTTTTAAAGAATAAATATTGTCCAAAATTAACTGATCTAAACACTGTGCATTAGTTATTCTCCAAGAATAGCAAGTTTTAAAAAAAACTGGTCAGTATTATATTAAATAATTTGCTTTAAATAGCTGTGTTTTTAACACATTAGGTATATTAACTAGTTATATTACTTATTTCTGGCCCTTGAAATTTTTTTTTCAAATTATCTGGACTGCCATAGAATTTAATTGCCGACCCCTGAGTTGCCTATACTACAGAAGCTCTACTAATCTGCACTTAGTGGGACCAGGCCCAACATAAATTACTGGAAATCTAGATTAAACGAAACAACCATCAACTGTGCAGATTCTTCTCAAATAAAAGGCTATGTGCCATTGTTATCTAAAATTTTTGTTATGGTCTGTTATCGCGCTGCTATAATACAGCCTAATAAATAACGTTCATAATATAATATATTTGTTTTTAATTAATTTCAAAAATATGATTCATAAAAAATTATAAAAAAATTATAATTAAACACCTATCAAAAAATTTAATTATTTGATTTACGATTATGATATATTAATTAATATGGTATCACAATGTAGGCTAAAATTCTGAAATATCCGATAAAATTGGATGAAAAGTATCCTGTTCACCAAGCTTTGGCTGCTACATTTTTAGCAGCACCAATTAGTTTGTTTCCTCCATTTTGAAACATCTAAAATTTTACCCACGTTTTGAGAGTGAGCTTCAGAGGTATGGTCCAAAAAGTTGTACGTAAGGTTAACTTGACCATGATAATAACCTACTTCTTGAGTATTATGTATGATTTCCAGCCATCTAATATTATTATTCATTGATCGCAGAGGGGCAATAACAGAGTAGCACCAGAATATCTTATGCTATTTATAAACCGCTTACTACTAAGGACACGGGAGAATTATTATATAAATGTATTTATTTAGAATACATACATATGTTATCTTTATTCTAAGTATAATCATCAATCAAAACTAAATAATTACAATCCGGATTAACGGTATGTCCAGACGAGCTAAGTGTGAATTACGAGACTCTACTATAATGTATTATTTGGCTTTATTCTAGGTCCTGTAGATTCCTGTAGATTTTGTATAACTATGTTTAAATTTCTGCTTAGAGACTGCATAATAAACTAATAATTAAAACAGCATCAACATTCAACATGGCACCTAGTTATAGTGATTCATTTATTCATAGCTAATTTATTTAGGTACCTAACAACAACTAAATATTAAGTTTACAATTTTAAGAATAACATGTTATTTAGGAAGGTATGCAATATTGCGATGTGCCATTATTTTAATAGGCAGATTAATGGATAAAAGTTAAACAATAATTAATAAAGAGCTTATTATCTAGGGGTAATACAATACTTATAAAATAGTCACTTTAATATCTACCGTAGCTCGTGTAAGTACAATACATAATATGCTCAGTTGATTTGGTATGTTATTAGTTATTAATTAATACAATAATATAATACGGATAGGTAATACTTACAATCAAATGGTTAATCGATTTCGCCATTTTCGATTCAAGAATAACCAACGATCCTGAATTGAGTGAAAATATCACGTTTAAAACGTATTCAATAAAGAATCATTTAGTGGTTTTTCGTCCAAACCATCACTAGGAGTTAGGACTATGTTAACAATAAGTAAATACTGTTAAAGTTAAAACGATTCCAAAACGGAAGGTACACAATAGACAATCTATATTATACTTAATAATAATAGTTTTTCGATCTGTATAAAAAAAACCAAACGGTGCTGCAAAATATTATATTTCCAATTAAAATACACTGATAACATTCAGATATTTTAAGTTTCAGATTTCCGTCAATCTGCAATCGTACACACTGGCCGAAAAAATGAGGTATAAACCGCAAACTTGGTTGTGGTCGAGTAGCCGCATAGATATATATTATTAATAATAATAATAATATATATCTACGAGTAGCCGTCAGTTCTTCTCCTGCATAGAAGAACTAGATAGCCGTCTCCTTCTTGTCATCGAAGTCGGCCGCCATTTATAAAGCGGATAATGTCTACAAAATAATATTATCACAGTATATATGTATATAAATCAATGTAAAATAATGTAAACATTGCCTGCTTTATAAATGGCCGCCGATTTCAACATTGGCCACAAACAACACTGTAGTATAAAGACGGCTATCTAGTTGTTGTATATATCCATGTTCCCCTGAGATAATCATAGACCTACTAATGGCCATACCGGCCTATATGTCTATATATAAAGCACGATTTAAGATATACAGGTTACTCAACGGAGCATTTATTTTTGATGCCTATAGTTTATCCTCATATAATATAGGTAGTTTATCCTCGATTACGGCCTGTGGGCTGTGAGTCGTGAGCACGGCCATGACAAAATAGATAGGTATGTCAGCAACGATACGAGTTTTGGTCCTGTTAGCGCATCACACCCTTCCCTGCCATAGTCGTGGTTCGCCTCATTTCATTGGCCGTTAAATTACCCGCCAAAAATACAATTTTGTAATATTATAATCAAGACGAGATTAAAAATTAATAATTATGATTTATGAATAATAGATTAATACGAGCTTTTTACTATGAAAAATTACATTTTATCATTTTCTTGTATGATATATGTAATTTGTTTTTATGTTATTCATCGATATCAATGTATTATGATATTTTAATATAAACAAATACAATCAATTTACGAATTATTTGTTGTTAATTGTTTATACTAGATTTATGTGTTGATTGTGTTTATTTAAGTAAAATACTCCTATATATTTACATATAATATTTACATTTTCACACAAAAAATGCCAGTTTGTGAGTTTTTTGGATGTGATAATGGTAGCAAAAGGAAAAGTTTGGTGAAAAATCCTAAAATTATGCTACATCGATTCCCAAAAGACCCAATTTTAAGGGATTGCTGGGTAAAACAAATACACCAATATGGCCAAACAGATGAAGATAGGAAATCCATAAATTTTAATTCTGGTAAAACCAAATAATTTTTAGTAATAATATTTACTTTAGTATCTTACTTGACTTCCATATTTATTCAAACATTAAATAATTATATTTAGCGGTTGTTTGTTCTTTGCATTTTGCAAATGATAGTTATGTCATATCTTCCGGAATAAAGGGTAGAAAAATATTAAAACCAAATGCTATTCCTTTGAAGTAAGTTTTTTAAAATTATGATTTCTTAATTACATAAATACATAATTTATTTTATAAATTGAAATATATAATTTGTATTTATTTAAGTATACATAGCATGATTGATGGTATTGTGTGTCTTGAAGAGTTTATTACTCCTCAAAAAAATAGATCAAGTTGTAATGAGCCAGTAATAATCACCTCAGCTGGAAAATTCTCTGTGTACGAATAAATTTAAATACAATCTATTACCAAATTACTCAACTAAACAGTATAATTTATGATATAAATATTATGTATTTTTACTTTTTAGAGAAAAATTGTGTGAATCTGTTGTTGCTTCTGCAGACCATAAGTAACTATACACAATACAAACATGAGTACCTAATAATAATACAATATTGTTTATTTTTATTTTTATTTTGTTAGGTCTAAAGAAAAATATAGAATTAACCTTTTTGATGATCTAGAAGTTCAACCACTAGATCAAAGTTTAGAAAATAAAACGGAAAATAGTTCATCATATCAAAAGTAATGTACATACTTTTTTTTAAATAATAATTAAGTCTTCCAAAGCCTTTTGTGATAAAGTAAGTTTATTGTTTAATAACTATTAATTACATTTAAATACATACATTGTAAATTATAATTTGAAGATAATTAAAAAATACATATTCATTATTATTTTACAGTTAACAATTTACATAACCACCTAAGAATTACTATTAAAATAAAAACCTAACATTTACAAACTTAAAAGAAAAATAGAAATTAAGGAAATTATTAAGTGCTTTTGGTGTTTGTATGGTGTTAATAGGATATGTAGTTAGATAATTAACAGTATTATGGTATTATAGAATATTAAATAACAATAAGGATTTAGTATTTGGATTAAATTATTGCCATGTATAGGTAGTATATTTTTATTTGTTAATTTATATAAAATAAAAAATGTCTTACATGTATGCATGCTATTTAGCTTACCATATTTTTCTAATGTTTGTGTTAATAAAATTCATGTTTTCTAATTGTCTATTATATGTTTGTTTTATATGTAATGTTTTAATTATTAAAAAAAATATCTCATTAATATGTAGTGTTTTAATTATTTATTTAAGTATTTTATTACTTTTTATTATTAATTTATGCTCTAATCCGTAAATAGTAATACTATAATGTAAACTATAAAAATGTATTCCTAAAATGATTAGACTAAAAGAAGAATGTGACAAATATAAAGAAAAAAATATGAAACTTGAGGAAGAAAATAATGTTTTAAAAAAAAATATTACTTTTGAAATGGACAAGGTAAAATATTATACAGATCTTATTAATTTGGAAGATGTTCGTTTTGAAAGTCGCTTTGGTAATATTTTATCACAACTCTTTACACCAACTCAAATTCAGCTTCTTCTTCATCCAAAAAAAAAAAGTATATCAGTGGACCCCAGAAGATATTTCTTCGGCGATTACTTTAAGGAGTATATCGCCAAAATGTTATCGTTACTTAAGAGAAAAAAAAAATTTTCCACTGCCAGGTAATTAATATATTAATATATAAATTTATTACCTAATAAATTCAATTATATGTACTAAATATATTTTGAGGTCTATCTACTTTACGAACTTGGGCAGCAAAATTTCCAATTGATGATGGAATATTGACTAGTGTTTTATCTTTGATGAAATCTAAAGGTATTTCAAATTAAAATAATATTATGTAAAATTTGTTCCATGTATTTTAAGTATTGAAATATATTTATATATAAAACAAAATATTTTTAATGAAAGGAGATCTTATGAGCACAGCTGACAAATTAACTGTAATTTGTTTTGATGAAACCTATATTTCAAGTAGAATTTGTTTGGACAAAAAAAATGAACGAGTAATAGGACCACATAAATGTGTACAAACAGTTATAGCTCGAGGTACATACAGTAACATTACTATCAACGTTATTATGACTAGATATGTATTAAGTAGATAAATGTAAGACTAATTCATTTACAGGGTTGGTAAGTAATTGGAAACAGCCGATTATGTATGGATATGATACCCCAATGACACAAGAATTATTACATCAAATTATTGAGCAGCTGCATAATGTTGGGTTTAATGTCATTGCAATGGTTAGTGATATGGGTTCATCAAACATTGGATTATGGAAAGCTTTAAACATAACTATAGAGAATACGTCCTTTAAGCATAAAATAACAAACCAAAACATCTATGTTTTTGCTGATGTCCCACATCTTTTGAAGCTAGCAAGAAATCATTTAATTGACAAGTATAAAACTAATTTTTAAATTAATATCTATTAAATATCAATATTTTATAACAAATATAATTATTTCAGAGGTTTTGTACTTTCCAATGGAAAATATATTGGAAAAGGTGTTTTTGAAGAGTTGTTAAATTTAAACTCTGGCCAAGATTTTAAATTGGCTCATAAATTCACGAACAAACACCTATTAGTTGAAGGGACTGGTCGTATGAAAGTAAAATTAGCTGCACAGTTATTTTCATATACAGTTTCCAAAGCAATTGAATATGGCGGAGAAAAAAAGTTATTAGAGGATTATAACTGGAAAGAAGTAAATACTTATTTTATAAATGTATAATTAAGTAGTATAAAAAGGTTTAATTGTTTTTTTTTATTATCTTGGAATTACATTTAATATAATGCTTGACAAAAAAAATGTTTGTTTTAAAAAAAAAGGCTTCAGATATTATTTTGCTATTCAACGATTGGTTTGATTTACTAAACACTCAACATAAATTTGATAAAGGAGTAAAAAGTTATGGCCTAGATGAAACAAATCAAAATGATTTACTTGAAAAAATGAACAGTTTTATCAAGTCCATGAGAGTTCATCAAAAAAAATCTTTACTACCATTTCAAAAGGGTAAAATATTTATGAATAACTTATATATTTTTAAATTGTATCAAATGCTTTTGGTTTATAAGAACAGATAACTGTTATTTCTATGTTACACATATTGGCTATTATACAATTTTTATAGGAATTTTAGTCACTAATATATCCCTAAAAAATTTATTAATTGATATTAAAAACATGAATGGTCTCACATATATAATAACTAGAAAGTTGAACCAGGATATATTGGAAAATTTATTTAGTTTTCTAAAAGGAATGGCTGGATGTGCAAGCAATAATATTACTGCATTGGATTTTAAATACTGGTAGGGATTTAATCTAAATGTAATAAAATTACTATGTAGTTTTTATAACTCAATAATTTTTTTTTAGTTTGAGGTGGTATATACTAGGCAAACACTCTCACTTAGTATTTTCAGAAAATACTAATACGGAAGATGGTCATGAAGAAAAGTTGTTGAATGATTCCGAATGTATAACATCAGAACTATTCAATAATTTAGAATTGTCCAAAGAGATCTGCAATGGCCAGCTTGAGATGGAAAGTCACAATACTTGTTTGAAGGAAACAGATATTCCAGAATTAGATTTTGATTTACTAAAACAATTTGAAGTATGTATAAGCTAAAAATGTAAAACGCTAACAACAAATTACAGCAATACGTACATTTTTTTATAGTTGGACACCGAAGAACCATTCAATAGCATAGAGAAAGAATGTGCAGAATTTGTGGCAGGCTACGTAGCTAATCGGTTTTTCAATAAATATCCCAATTTGATAGCCCATTCAGATAAAGACAAACCAATCTGTTGGACAGATTATATTTCCAGAGGGCAATTGAAAATTCCATCTGACAATTTAATGCGAGCTGTGAAACAATTAGAAATACATTTCAGAAGTCTCCACGGTGACAACCTGTCAAAAGCTCCTAATATATTTAAAACATTAACAGATAAATTACAAATAAGTACTCAAGATTTAAAGTTACCTTTAGATGTTTTGCAATGTCTTGTACGAACAAGAACTTATATAAGACTCAATAATTTAAACAATCAAATTATGAGTCAAAAATTTAAAAAATTGGAAACATTTAAAAAACAAAAATTTACTAAATAAGATGTAAGTAGGTAATGTAAGTATTGAAATATATTATAATGTAATATTTAGGTACCTATGTTAATTGTTAATAAGTAAGTATAATAATTAATATAATATATAAAATAGTTTTCCAATTTTGAATTTTTATTATTAATGATTTCCATAATTTAGTATTTACCAGTACACGACTATAGTACACGGTCAGTGTCCGTCGGACACACGGTGATTTAATATTTATTGATAAAACGTGATAACATTAAACGACCAAGAATATTATATTCACCAATGAGAAGAGGCGAACCAGCTAATAGACGGGGGGTGGAGTGGTCGGCGAACACAATGCGTATCAAAAAGTTGCTGACATACCTATCTATTTTGTCATGAGCACGGCTATAGATAATATGGTTGCGGAACGAAACGTGAAAATGTGAAGCTTAAAACGTATATTAGCTTTAACACCAGCACACAGCGTTCTCTGGGTGATAAATTGTATGACTACATTAAAAATTATATTATTCTGTATTTTTGTCATAGTTATTGTTTTTCAATAATAATTATACAGAAGTAAAATACAGTAATACAATAATATTTATGTTTGTATATACGAATATTATAGGTATGCAATAAATAAATAATTCAGGTTTATAGTGCTCGCTCAAGTATTTTTATGTATTAATTAATAATCACACATCAATATTTAGATAAACTATAGTAATAGTAGCTAAACTTAAATATATTATATTAATTTTTAAATTAAATTTAAGAAGTAACCAATTTTGATAATTTTTTTTTTGTTTTATTCAATTGTTTGGCTTCAATATTTTTTGAATAACTGTATTGACGCATTCTCATCGTTATATACATAACAAACATATCTGTGAGTATTTCACTTTTGTGATCATTACAATTCCATGTTAGAAATGAAATATTATTCTGCAACAAATCATTCTGTGTATCTTCAAATACTGTTGGAGAATCCGCATACTTCTCAAAACACAATTCAAATGATTTTATAATTAAGTAAACGTGATGATTAGGGTGTGTTAAATAACCTCTTGTTTTTACATTTACAAAATCTGCAGCTGGGTGTGAAACCTGTCCATATTCTGTGCTCAAACAATTCAAACAGGTTTCACATTTAATGGTTTTTTTCATTCGTTTTACTATGTACCTGAGAACAAAGAATAGTAAATATAATGTTATAAAATAATATGCTTCCCCTAATATAATTTAAAATGTGTTCAATCCGCTTAAATTACTACACAAATATAAACTGTTGTATTCACCCTGTCAAGAAGTACACTAAACATTCAAATACTGTGGAATTTGTATTGCAATAATTATGATCTCTAAAAACATCATCAAAATCATAATGCCCATCTTTAACAATAGAATCAATTTTATGTTTTAGCTTGCATATTTTATCTTTTCTTATGGATGTTTCATTTTGTTCTTCTGTAATATTTTTCAAATCCCCAATAGAAATAACAGGGATATTATCTAAAAGTATATTGTTTGTACTTCTTGTTAATAAAATTTCTAAATATTATTAACTTTTTAATGAAAATCCATAAATACCTTCTAAGATAGTACAATTCCCTGTTTTTGGAGGTTTTACCAGAGAATAAACAGATAACATTCTGTATAATTGCAAGAATGTGGGTGTTGAAGGATGGTCGTTTGGTCCTGCCACTTGCCTTATTATTCCAAAAAATTTCTGAAAATTTTAAAAAATAATTATATAATTTTTATTTATTTCAAATAGGTTAAGTTATGTAATTAATGTGTAAAATACTTACTTCAACACCATCCTGGTTAGTTTTAGATGTTAGTACATAATCAAAACCACATGAGTGTAAATAGTTAATTATGTCAATTGAAGATTGTATAGTCATTCTAAGCCCTTCTGCTGTGTTTTTAGTTAAAAACTTGTCTTCTGGAATTAGATTATTAGTAACATTTGATTCCCAATTGTCCAACCAAACCAATGCATTTTTCAATACCTAAACAAATACAAATTAATAATCATACACTCGTATCTATTATGACGTATGAAAAATAGTTCAAAATATTTTAAAGATACTGCCTCCAAGTATTGAAGTATGATGTACACAATAATCATCTAAACAAATTATACAAGTATTAGTTACATAATATAATATAGTTCTAATTATTAGTTATGGATTACTATTAATAGTATCTAAAACATAAAATTAAGTTAGAATAAGAAAATACATGCATAAAGTTCTGATACAATTAATATTGAGTTGAATAAATACATTTTAATGATACTCCCCTGTTTTTAGTTTTTCAAACACAAACATTTATTGTAACCATTGACATGCAACCTAAAAATCCTACATATATGCCACAAAACCTCTAAATCAGAACTATTTTTTTTAATTCCTTCCCCAGGAAATTTTCTATTTAAAGCATCGAATAAACTATTCATCATCAGAGTAAATTTGATGGTCTCATCATAGTCTTCAAAACCCTCATAGTTTTTACTCTGGTAAAATTGAATTCCAACAGCCATTGATGAACTAAATATCTAAAAAAAAGTAATAATTTTAATATGTGTACCTAACGTTTAAACATTAAAAAATATACCTGTGAAGCATATTTTACTTTCATCTTTGACAAATTGTTTAGTTCTAAATGGTTTGTTGTAATTTTAGGGCAAACTTTAGTTAAATTTTTTGAATCATGAAAAAATACATTTTCATATGTACTCCATTTAATTAAAGATTTGTTGGGATGAATCTAAAAAAGAAAATAATATAGTTATAAATATACACAAGCTTATGAGTTATGTTTTTATACTTATTGAAATTTGATATAAACTTATTGATTTACTTGTAATGATTTTTTTGTGTATAATCTGTTTCTAACAGTTTTTATCAAGTGTGGAGCATCAGAAAAAACAAAAACTTTTCGGTTGCCATCAAACGGATTTTCAAATGAATTTTTGAAAGTTTTCTGTTTGGCACTTATACCTAGTGCACTCCACATTGTACGATTTGTAGAGGCCCCATCGCTAGTGATGCCAATCACTTGAATACCAGAATTTTCCAATAACAAAATGGCTTTTAATATAATTTTAGCTAAATCAATTCCTGTAACAAATATTACTATAATATACATTTTCTTGTATAATTACAGCTTAAAATTACCTTTCACAGGTCCCTTGGAAGCAAATACTGCAATAGGCTGTTGAATATTATCTGCTAAACTTTGCACCATCAAAACCAGTGCATGATTAGCTTTTTCGGTTGCTCTGGTTTCAAATCCTTCTCCAAAGTCTTCCAAGCCAATGTAGGTCAGTGTTCTTGTATTGACTGAAATACTCTCTCTTAGGAAAATTTCATCAAATACAAGAATCATTTTCCTTTGGAACTCTGTTTTATTTGCAAACTTTTTCTTTAATAATTTAAAAAAATCTGGGTCAAATCCACAACCTATCTTAATGGCCAACAAATAATTACGTAGAGTTTTTGTACAAGGTAGTGGTAGTATTTTTTGCTCTCTAAGATATTTATAGCCACTTGGTGAGCTATAATGAAACATTAAAAAACATAATTTTGTTAATTGTGAAGTTATTATATAAAAAAACCAATATATTCTAACCTTACCGTATCTGAAACAACAAACATAAAAGTGTCCAATTTTCACTATAACATCTGTTTTTAGAATTTTTAACTTTAGCCGCCAAAAATATCTCTTTAATCAATTCACATTGGCCTTTTGGTATCATCGAGTTTTCTAATAACTCATCAAGTGTTTTTTCACAAAAAGAGTTCATTTCATCTTTTATTTTATTTAATTCAATTTGTAGACGCAAAATTGTTTTACGAGCTCTAGAACATCTTTGCTGCATATTTTTCTTAATCGATTTTATTTTTGAAAGTACTTTTTTTTTATTTGGAGAAAAAAATGGTTTTGTAGATAATCCTTTGGTGTGTTTGGTAAGTTTATTATTTATAGAAAAAGTTAGTCTTTTACACCATATGCATAATTTTCTGGAATAAATAAACAAATTGTTATATTATGTTAATGCACATTTGTATTAGCAAAACATTACTCATTATCCTTCAGAATTGTTAAACAGTTCTTATGCTTCCACCGACCATTGACCTCAATGTATTGGGAACCAAATGAAGACTTAATATCATTAACTTTAATCGAGGAAACAGCTCCATAACAACATTTTATTTTTTCAAGGATATTTAGTAAATTATCTATATCCTTAATATTCTTAATATGTGAATTGTCCAGGCCTATTTCTGATAATTTGAATTCTTTTCCATTAAGATGTAGTAATATATTTGAATCTAATTAAATTTATAACTAGTTATTAAGTATCTCAAATACAATAAAATATAAATAAGTATAGTATTAATTTATATAACCTTTAGTTATAACTATTCTTTTTTCAATTATCCCTGTAAAATGTAATTGCAATGGGCTAAGTTTATGAATTGATACTACCATCTCAGTTTTATTTTCGTATACTTCCATAATATCAACAAACCAATGATTAGGCAAATTAATCAAGCACTTATTCCTCAATACATTTGTATATAAGTCTATTTCAATCTGTTAATTTTTAAATTAAATGTTATTATTTAAAGGTATAGGTAATATATTTTAAAATAAATCAATATTGAAACTTAATAGGTACCTACTTAATATTATCAAATTATCTAATACTTTATTTACCTTTCTTCTTTTGGTTTGAATTTGGTAGTTTTCATCCTTCTCAAATACTGATGGAACTGCTCCATCCAAAAGTTTAGGAACTTTAAGACATATCTAAATCACAATTTATCATTTATTGAAAAATGGTTATAAATTATAATTAAGGTACAATGAAATAAATAATAATATATTCTTACTCTGTATTTATTTTCGCCTTCGCCGGATTCCCAAGTAGACTTAATATCGCTTTTCTTAAAGTGTGAAGCACAAACTCTGTAACTTTTTTTAAGTACAGTTTTTAATGCATTTTCCCATTTATT